GTGTTCGCACCAGTGCAGCTGCCACAATTTTAGCCTTTCCTGTCTTTCCTAGTCCACATGGAGAAGGTTACATCTCCTTTCAAGGTATATTCCTAGCAAGAGAAACAAACACTAGTAATTAGTAGTCTAAGTTTTAACTTATTCCTTCAGAATTGTTCTAGAAATTAGATCAAAATCAAATAGGCACTTACCATATAACATTCCTTTATGAGTTGCAGATTATGTTTCTGATGATGGACCGCAAGATCCTCAATCCATTGCAATCAAGCAACTTCTTGCATCTTTACCTGAAAATGCCAACAATTCCACAGAGATAAAGATCGCATTAATAAGGGAAATAAAGAAAGCATCTGCCATCATTGTGAACACAATGGACTTCCTCGAACAGGAAGCACTAGCAGTGATTAGAGACCACTTCGCACCTTCAATTTTCGCCATAGGCCCCCTTCACAAATTAGCCCCTACAGGTTCTGCTTCACGGCTCAAGGAAGATTCTAGCTGCATTTCTTGGCTTAATAGACAAGCCCCAAAATCGGTGGTCTACATAAGCTTTGGCAGCCTGGCTGCAATGGATGAAGAAGAGCTAGTTAACATGGCTTGGGGACTGGCAAACTCTGAGCAGCCATTTCTATGGGTAGTTAGACCAGGTTCAGTCCGTGGGTCTGAATGGATTGAGTCCCTGCCAGAGACATTCCATGAAAGAGTTGGAGAAAGAGGCAACATTGTGAGATGGGCGCCACAAAAGGAGGTGTTGGAACATGGTTCAGTGGGCGCATTTTGGAGCCATTGTGGATGGAATTCTACCCTTGAGAGTATATCAGAAGGCGTGCCACTGTTATGCAGGCCTTTGTTTGGGGATCAGATGTTAGATTCAAGATATATTTGCGATGTGTGGAAGGTAGGGCTAGAATTGGAGAAAGGGAAGATTGCAGAAGGTATAAGAAGACTAATGAAGGATGAGGAAGGGATGGAGATAAGAAAGAGAGCAATGGATTTGAAGAAGAAAACAGAGGCTTGTCTAAGGGAGGGTGGTTCAACAATCAATTCTTTCAATGAATTTTCAAAGCAGATACTAGGTTAATAATTAAGAAGCACCCCCTTACACGGATTCCTTTCTTTTACCTATATAAACTCTTACTGTATATCTATGGGGCAATTGAATCTACATGATATGAAGGAAAAATCAGTATAATGTTGAAAAATAACTGTATCAGCAACTTGATCATACATCTATGTAATGCAGATATGAGAAATAGAAAGAGATCATACCCATTTGATTATTTAACACGGGACTCATGAATAAACCAAACAGGAGGATGATTAACGGGTAAAATTCATACAAAATCAAACTAAAACCCTAAAACAATATGACCCCTACAACCCTTAATCCAAACCCAACCTTAAAATGCTTCGGTGGCTTAAACATATATTGTGCTGGCCAGGGAGATAGGACATAGAAAGATAAAGCTATGACAATCTCCACAGCCAGAGGATTCCACAAACTCTTCAATTTGTCCCACACTTTTAAAACTGTATTAAAAGGATTCACGGCTGAATCTAAAAATGAGAAAGAAAAATGAATTATACCCTTCATACATGAACAACATGGAGGACTAGAACTCAGGTCAAAGTAAAAAACTTAAATCATGCCTTCTCAGAATGATGTTTGTTTTGAATGTTTGAATGTAGATTATACAATTTAGCATTGGTGCCCGGAAAACTTCTCCCCAGTCCCCAGATTCAATGATCTCCCTACATCTGGGTATGAATAACAACGGACATAGGAAAATGGCATGTAAGCATTAACACTGCCAACAAGCAAGCAACCTCTCTAAAGGGTGCTCAGGTCAGCCTCAGTATTGCCAGAAGATTCTTACTTTGAAAGAGAAGATCAAGTTATGTACGAAGGAAGATGTTTCTTCATACAATTCCTTAAGGCAATTGACAGAACACATCTTGTTATACTGAATCCATTATATTCAGTATGAACTAAAATTTCCCTCCTTTCAATACCATTCTAAAACAATTTATACAAACTCTTTATTCACAATTATAGTACAAGGACTTGGCAACTCAATTCAAAACTAAAAACAGGAAACATAGAACAAGAAAACAAAGATAATGAAAATTTGGAATATCCTCTTAACACTATTTCACTTGCAAAAGTCGTATTAACACATCACACAGAACAAACCCTTCAACTCCATAACAAAGCGACACATATTCCCAAGTACTAAACAACCATTAGAACACACGGATACACACACATTCTCTTATTTATCTGCTGCAGGATAGAGACGACTTACATTCAACCGGAGATCTGAATTGCCTTCACATCAGGCTTTTTCACCTCAGCCTTAGGCACAGTTACTGTAAGCACTCCATCCTCGATAGACGCTTTAATCTGGTCCGGTTTCGCATTCTCCGGCAGCCTAAACCTCCTCATGAACTTCCCGCTGCTGCGCTCCACGCGATGCCAAGTATCATTCTTATCTTCCTTTTCAATGTTCCTCTGGCCGCTGATCTGAAGCACACTGTCATCTTCCACCTCTACCTTCACTTCTTCCTTCTTAATCCCGGGAAGATCAGCCTTAAACACATGCGCCTCCGGAGTTTCCCGCCAATCGACTCGAGTGTTAACGAAAGCGGCGGTCTCCGGTGAGTATGCGGCGAGGGAAGAAGGGAACTGGAACTCCTTGAAGGGATCCCAGACGTCGAGAGCGAATGGATCGAAGATGCTGTTGCGTCGGTTGCCAAAAAAGCTTGGAATCAGAGACATTTTCCGGCGAATAAAGGAACAGCTCAGGTGATCGACTGAATCTAGCTTCTTTTTTTCCGTTTCTGGCGAAATAAGGCGTACTGACGTCCGTATTTATATGGGCCTAGGAAGAATCCAGGACCGAAACCGATATTTTATTTAGATTTATCTAGAGATTTTATGAATCGCATAGCGTACTCTCGGACCTTCGGGAGATTTTGATTTTTTTTTTTTTTAATCATTAATTTCAAGAATTTCTTTCTGCAAATAAGATGAGCCCACCAATGACTTTAATGGGCTTAACCCAATTTCGTGTAAGGTTATGGGTTTTGACGTATTTATTTGGTGATTGGAATGAATGGTCTACTACTCGGGTGAATATTCTACCCATATAAGTCAAGCCCAAAATTTTTAACCCAAATTCAAGTACGAATAATAATGGGCCTCACATTTGCCAAAAAAATTTACAACGACATAGTTTTTACATAGAAAACCCAGAACAAGAGGGGAGCAATGAAAATAATTATATGGGCTTAACCCAAATCGTATGTTGTTGGACTAAAAAAGATATAATTATATAATGCGGTTAAGATTATTGTTACCTTTCATTTTGTTAAGGCCACCCATTATATCTATTATTTGATTAATTTATAATTTTTTGAAAATAATTAATTATAATATTTAAAATATTTATTTATAGATTTATTTTAATATATTAAATAATAAATATTAATTATTTTATAAAAATTCAATCATTTAAATGATCTTAACAAATTTAAAAATAATCTTAACCAATACCATATACAATAAGTATGATTTTGCAATCAGTCTTAAATGCTTGTTAAGTCAGCATAAACTATGTTACACTTCACTTTTTCAATAAATAAATAAAACATATAATATACACTTGAGTTTTGTGATTCGATAATTATATGTTTTATTATGAGGTGCAGTTTCTTAATTTTAGAGTAAGGGTTTGAATCCCCACCCAAATTGTAATATATTAAAAAAAAAGAAAAAAAAAAAGAAATAAGGCACATAACATAACCATACAAAGGAAAATATACATCATATATGCAACCTTTTTTACATCATATATGCAACCTTTTTTACATCATATAAACCCCTAGAAACAAAAGGTTCACTCATCTGTCAATTTAAATTCTTTATTATTAAAAAATAAATACATATATAATATTATAATTAAATTAGTTTTTATAAAAATTTCTCTAAATTTAAATTTTATTTTAAAAAAATAAACTCTAATTATTCAAACTAAAAAGCGGCCGATATAATAAATGAATTACAAAACAAAAAGAATTGAGTTATAATCTCACGTAAGCACGTAACCATGTTACGTTTTCGAAGAAGAAGAAGAAGAGTGGGAGGTAGTTGAAACCAAAATTAAGCGAATCCCTGGGAGCCTGGGGTGGTTTAGATTCTGCATTATCCTTGATCTTCCTCTTCCGTTAAAATTCAGCAAATTTCGATCCTCCGAATTCGATTTTCCGTTCGGTGCTCGTCGGAACAAAACCGTTCAAACTACCATTTTTTTTTTTTTTGATGGGTTTAAATGCTCCGAGCTGTTGAATTCTATTCCGATTGATGTCAAACTCTAACGTTGAGGGTTCAACACTGCAATGCCGGTCTACGTTGATCGTGAGGCTCCTAAGGTTTCTCCCTCTCTCTAGACCATGTTTTCTGTACAGAAACATCTCTTTGCTTTTATTTGCATGGGTTTTGATTGTTTCATTTATTGGGTCTTGACCTGAAGCTCTGGAGGAAAATTTGCACGGAGGCTTTCGTAGAGATTTCGCTTCTCGGAGAGAACTGGAAGCTTATCTTTGCCGGACTTCTTTTTCAGGTCTTTACTTTGATTCTGTTATTTACTATGCTTTATGCTGTACGTTACTTTATGTTTTTGCAAATTCGAGTTTGCATTAGTGAGGATTAACGCATTGATAAATTTTGTCCTATGTTATTAATCATGCCAACTTCTACACATTTGATATGCAAAGGACCTTTCTTTTTACCAAGATGATCGAGGGGGCGCAATTCCATATTGTTTTGTGGCGAAATTTGTTATTCACATTGCAGAACATAAACTGTTTATAATAGAATGCATTTCTTTTGCAAGTCTTAATCATGACGAAGTTGTCTATTTTTATGTAAATTTATCAGGATCCCTTCTTATATAATAAATAAATGTCATTCCTTTTCTAGTATATCCATGGTTTGGCTGCTCATGGAGTTCATTACCTACATCGACCAGGGCCAACACTTCAGGATGCTGGGTTTTTTCTGCTTCCTGTGGGTACCACTTTTTGGTTTGTCATGATGCTCTAAATATTTTACCTGGAATTGTAGCAGGATTTACTTAAAACTTTTTTTTTTTTTCCCAATTTTAGGAACTTGGACAAGACAAGAATTATATCAGTGAGGCTGTATTCACCTTCATCTTTTGCTCCTTTATTTTGGTAAGCTTTTTACATTTATTATTACATGCCTTTTTTTTATATTGCTCACATCTTATTGGAGATCTTGAAACTGTATGTTAATCATTCCACATGAATTTTTGAGCTACATAACTCTCTTTGATTTTTATGATATCAACAAGATGGTTGCATGGCTATGCAATATATTCTCCCTCTATCCCTTTCTGTGCTTACTGTAGATTAAGTTTGTTGGCCTGGAATTTGTAGGCAAAGATACAACTGTGAAATTTTCAGCTGTTGATTTGTCTTTTTTGTTGTAATTGTTTTGCAGTGGACCTTCCACCCCTTTGTTTTCCAGAGCAAAAGAATCTATACTGTTCTGATTTGGTGTAGGGTTTTTGCTTATTTAGTTGTAAGTACCATCGTTTTGATGTTTTCAGATGCATACATCCATCATTAGCTTTCTTAGTTGGTTACTCTATTATTTTTATTCCACATGATACTATCTCATTAAAAGACGCTTGTCTAGAAATTGGATCGCTTTGAGGACTAACACAGGCTTCTTTTCTGAGAAGGCAGGATATTAAGCGTGGTTTCCGCCTGTTGTCCATATATACTTCTCTAACAGTTCATTAAAAGTATTGTTTTCTAATCTTTTTCTTAAGGTTTCCCAAAGTCTCCGCATCATAACATTCTATTCAACTCAGCTTCCTGGTCCAAATTATCATTGTCGTGAGGTAATAATTTGTAGATGTTTGAATGATTTTCCCTCTGTTCAATTTGATCATAAAAGTCCCATTAAAAAGATGATCTTAAACTCTTGATATTGCTGTATACCTGAAGTGCTTGCTTTCATTATGGATTTACTTGTTATTAAAGAATTTTTTACAATCAACCGTCTATTTCAGGGCTCTACACTTGCCAGGTTACCTCGTCCAGATAGTCTACTTGCAGTCCTTTTAATCAACTGTTAGTTCTAAACTATTTCCACTCATTTTATTTCTCATTTATCAACTGTAGTCAAATGCAAGATACTTGTTCTCTACTTAATTGCAGTTCCCCGAGGTGCTATTTATGGATGTGGTGATTTGATATTCTCATCACATATGATTTTTAGCTTGGTATTTGTCCGCACGTATCAAAAATATGGCATAAGAAGGTAATGTATTGGTTTTAGTTTAGTGAATGCTAGCTTATACCAGTAAATGTGTTCTTTTTGACCCATTTGTGAGTGGTAAAAATTGTTGTATGCATTATGGAGCATATAGATTTTTATGCTGTTTTAGTGACAAGTATTAAACTTTGTTGCCTATATATTGCAGGGGCATTAAACAATTTGCTTGGTTGCTTGCTGTGGCTCAGAGCCTCCTGATTATAGCATCTCGCAAACATTACACTGTTGACGTTGTAGTTGCATGGTGAAAGAAAATTTATTCTGCTCTTGAAGTCAATTGTTTACAAACTTTATTTCTAGTATTGATTAACCTTGGGGAATTGATTATTGTGCAGGTATACTGTAAATTTGGTAGTTTTCTTTGTTGACAAGAAATTACCAGGTTAGGATTTATAATTATATTGTTTCCTTATTTTTAGTTTCTTGTAGTCTTAAGAATGTGTTGTATAAAATAGGTTTTCACTAAGCACAAATGGTATTACTAAATGCATCACTTAACTGAACAATGAATATAACAGTTGCTACTGCCTTTTAAGTGGTGACTTTAACGTCTTATTGCAGAGTTGCCAGACAGATCTGCTGGATCCTCAGCTCTACCCATCCTTCCTTTGAGCACAAGAGAAAAGGATTGCAAGAACAAAGAAGAGCACCCTAAATTACTAAATGGGAATTCCATGACCAGTCCGAACTAATCACAGGTTATCAGCAACATTTCTGGCCACATTGGTGCTCCCTTTTGCCAGATGCTTTCAGAAGGTACTATAAAACGGTGCAAAGTTCTTTCTGCCAAGATTAGGCACAAATGAATCACAACCTTCAAGTTAGGTATAGTGATAAATGGCAAATAGATGTCAGCCCAAGCTGAAGATAGCTTTGGAGCTATTACACAGAGCTTGTAAACAAAGGTGAAATTGAAACTAATGCATTTTCACCTCATTTGCTGCATTAGTCTCATTTGTAATGTCTGCTAGAAATGGAATGAAATGTTTCTAGGGATCCAAATACTCACTGTTCCTTTTGCTTTACCTTTATTGTGAATTCATGTAGTTGCTTGGAGAGATGGCGGGAAGGATGTATAGAGGGGCGAAAATCATCATCCTGAGATGAAGGTTCAACTTTCTATTCAAAAAATTAATGAGTTGCTAGGACTTTATAGATGATGCATTTAAGTCAAAAGATCAAAAGGACATTAGTACTTTGATATGGTTACATACACATTACTACTTTGAACTTTCTGGGTAGAGTGAGTAGAGTAGTAGTATAGCATGTGAACCTTTTCTTTTTGCCAATTGGTGCTGGCATGCCCCAATTTTTCAATATCAATAATGCTTCTTGTCTGATGGCCCACCACAGCCACCTTACACGGCTTTCACCCTGTACATTCTCTTTTCATAGGAAAATGAGATATCAAAAATTGCAGACAGCACTAGTTACAATCACATGCCCTTTCTCTCACTTCCTTTCGCAATCAAAGTCTCTATTCCCCTTACCCTTTTGTTTGTGTGTGCCCTGCCATTGTCAAATTTATCCAAAGTAGAGATCATTATCGTATCTGCATGCACTGCCTTTTTCTCAGCTCTCAGTTGATGCAATTGCAGTCTAAAAGCCTGCTTAGTCTTTTGCAGCAACTTTCATTTTTCCTCTCTTGCCCCACTTTTTTAAACAGTTATAGCATTTAAGGGTGGGGGGAATTGAAGTATTAAAGTATTAAACCCTCCATAGGGTTGCGGGGTAAGACACACTGCCAATGTACAAATGCTTCAAAGTTGTACAAAACTTGTTTTAATTGGGTTCAACTTCTACAAAGGAAGAAACTGCTTTGGGAGTTATGCTAAACAGGCACGAGATCATACAAACTGTCTCAAACTCCCCCATGTAACATAATTACATAACAAATAATAATTTCTACGTACTAATGAGGAGTTGAATCAAGTGTTTAGCGACTTGTTTCAGCTTAAGTAAGGTCTCAAGTTCGAGACTTTGTGTATGCAGTAGTTTTTGTTGAGAGACTCACCCACCATTTTTAGGTGCACGACGCGGGTCGATCCGAATTAGTGGGGACGAAGCCCCAAATATCGGACGGAAAACCAAAAAATAATAATAATAATAATAATTTCTACATTGATATTTGACTCACACCTCATGGTATGAGATGAAGGTTGAAACACGGAGTTTACTCTTTTTAAACTAAAAAGTTGTATGATTGTTGATGATAATCATACTTCCAAAGCTCAAATGGGTGAAAGATTGTCATGAAGCGTGAACAAGTTTAAAAAATCAAGAAACGTGGTACATTCATTGGAAAGGGAAAGAAAAAGTGGTGATCTTTGCACTCGTACTAATTCCCTAGTCCAAGAACTTCCTTGCTAATCCATGTTGAAAGGTTGCCCAGCAGATCCACTGGAAATCTTTCTGTGTCTGTTGCTAAAATTTTAGCATCAGCAAAATACTAAATTATTCTGTGCTCGTGCTGTAGATACAGACAGTTTTGGCTTCCTCCATGTGGTGTGGGTACTTTCCCCCACTTTGCCTTGTGTTTTTATTTTTTATTTATTAACAAGGTTTTTCAGTCATTTAAACATATTTCAAGGCTAATTTACTTTTATTTTAATTAAAAATAAGTTATTTACATTAAAATTAAAAAATTATATCTTTATTAAAAAATTTTAATTAACAAGGTTAGAGTAAAGTCACAACTCTTGATGTGCTTCGCCTCGTTCTTTTTCCCCATATCTTGTGGGGGTGGACACCACGGTAGGGGTTGGTGACTTGGTGCAGGGTTGCTCACTAGCTTTTGCTGCATCATTCGGATGTTTGCAGGGGAGGTTCCTATACTCTTTTGAAATGTTTAATTTAGTCCTTTAACTCTTAAAATGTTCAAAGAGTTTAAGTACAAAATGCCTCTTAAATCTTTTAGACACACAATATATCAAGATATAATTCAAATATCCTTTGGGATAAGTGAAGGCCATCCACGGAATGTATTCTTTTTTTATTTTGATTTCTTATATGTTTCCTACTCACTCATCAATATTATAATATTTGTTTACTTTTTATCAATATTTATTATTGTTTATATTTATAACTCTATTAGATACTATTTATTGTTATATATATTGTAAAGTATAAAACAAATGATTGTACTTTTCTTGAATTTCTCCCCATTTATTCTAAGATCTGAGGTTGAGATTGTCAATTTGGGACTTGAGAGAGGATTCTTTAATAGAATTAGTAATAGAAGGACTTAGTTGAATGTTGGTTAAAGAGTTGAAGAACAAAAGAAGGATATTTCATATTTCGATAGTTAAAGGATTAAATTAAACATCTATAAGAGTACAGTTGTCAGTCTTCTTCACAGCTATTGATCCTTTCCCATTCTCTTTTCTTGATGTTTTTTATGGGCACGGAGGCCCAGCACAGACTGTTGTTTTGATGCAATGCAGCAAAATGGGTCATGGACATTTTGGCAAGGGGGAAAGTCCACAGTATTTTTTTTTTTTAACTCATTTTCTCTGGCAAATTAAGCTTGACAAGTTGGTCAAGTTCCATCATTTGAAGCATGTCTTTGCTTGCTACCTTCATTATTAATTCTTCACTACAATTCCCCTCCACTTCTTTATCTCCTCTTATTTAATTTTATAGCACAAATTTTGATTCTGGGTTGAAATAGGCAAGACATGAAGCTATATGTAGCTATTATATAAAAAACTTATCAAGGCTGTTGGCCTATCAATAGACATTCTGGCTGTTCTTAAAAGCAGCTTCTTCTTTTTCTTTTTCTTTTTTTGGATATTTTAAACATGAGTAGCTAAAGGATGCCTGCTGGCAAAGCTCAGGCACAGCCTCCTTGATCACCTCATTGCTTTCTTGTGCTTCCATTTCTATGATCACATATATGATATTTTCATACCTTGCTCACATGGAACCAATTATGTTTCTCTAGACCAATCTTAGGCTACTCATTCACGTTGATATTAACTGAATTACCAAAAAATAACTCATTTTGTCTAATTTTAATAAGTATAAATTTTATTGTCTAATAAGTTTTTTTATTCTTAATTAATTACTATTTAAATAAGACTTTTTATTTAATACACTCTCCATTTAACTTTGATAGATTGTATTTCTATTTTAAAACATTCATATTTAATTGTCAATATAAGATGGGCATTTATTTTTATTTTATTCTTATTTTAAAAATAATTATGATATATATTAAATCAAAAAATTATTTAAGTACTGATTACTTAATTAAAAATAAATATGAAATTTCATCAATTTATTATTATACCTAGTTTTTGCAATTTAGATTTATCAAATTATAAAATATTAATTATTAGATAAAGAACTCTCTTCCAATGTCAATGCTCAATGCTCCTCCTTTTTTTTTTTTAGTGGTATAAGAATAATTTTTTTTAGTGATATAAGAATAATTTTTTTATATAATTTTCACGTGATATTCAATGAGCAAATACACTAAATATTAGGAATCTAAATAAATAAATAAATAATCCATCATTTAATTGGATTGTACTAAAAATAGTAAAAAATTTATCTTAAATTATATTTTTATATATTAATGATTAACTGTTTAATATAATAAATACTTAAATTTTTAATTTTATTTTTAAATTAAAATTTTGTAACTAATCAATATTAATTCAATAAAACTTTTATTAATAATTTCATCTTATTCTAAACCTTTTTTTATATTTAATTTCTTTTAATAATTTAAAATTATTTACATATATTAATTAAAAAAAATTAAGTTTCGTAAGATTGAAACACCTCATATATACTAAACAACCTTAAATTAGAATTTATCCCACTTAATCGGACGGGTCAAAAAAAAATTTATATTTAATTTAAAAAATAATTTCTTAACAATATCATGAAAACGACGTTACTTTATTTAATTAATCTCATAAAAGATCACTTCACCAAAAACATGTTCACTCAAGTCATTTTGACTCTTGAGAAAACGATGTTCCTGGCCGACTAATCGCCGATTAATATCCCCTGTATCTTTTCCCCACGCGCTACGTTATACACGTGTTGCTTTTCTATTAGTCCGTATCTTCAAACGCGGAGGTCAAGCGTGGGTTATTTTGTCTGTTTGGGAGAACGAGTAAAGCCGAAAAAAATTTACTTAAAAAGGAAAAAAAAAAATGGGAAGAGAGAAACGAGAGAATGATGATGAGGTGGTGAAAAAATGCAAGCGAGAGAGAAGAAGAAGAACCTTGGATCCAGAAAGTTTTCTTTTCTTTTCTTTTCTTTTCTTTTCTTTTCTCGCTACCCAAACAGTGGTTCTTTTGCTTTCCTTTAAGTATTTTTCTTGCTCCTCACTCTCCTTTCTCAGTCTGAGCTAGCTTTCTCGTTCCCAAGCTCAGAAAGTAAAAGAGAAAGAATTTGGATTTTCTTTTTTCTGTTTTATAGTATTTGAAATTGAGGTTCTTCAATGGGAGCTCGCTGCTCCAAACTATCTATTTGCTGGTGGCCGTCGAATCTCCGGTCAACTCTCGATGACGACTCCGATCTCGGTTAGTTGCACTGATTACCTCACTTTCTCGAGAAAATTTGGTTTTCATTTCGCCGTTTGGTTTCTCATTTTAGGTTTTTGTTTTTATTTTTTATTTTTTAAGAGAGTGGGAAGGATACGTTGCCTGGTTTTACTGAGTACAGCTTGGACCAGCTTAGAGCTGCTACTTCCGGATTCTCGACGGAGAATATTGTTTCGGAGCACGGAGAGAAAGCTCCCAATGTAGTCTACAGAGGGAAGCTTGGCGATGATCGGTGGATCGCTGTTAAACGTTTTAATAGATCGGCGTGGCCTGATACTCGACAGTTCCTTGTTTGTGCTCTCTTGCTTCTTCTTTTTCTTTTATGCGATGCACATTTAATTCATTTGTTTGTTGTCTTTCCTTTCTATTTTTTTTCAGTTGCAACTGGTGATTTCTGTTTCAGGAAGAGGCAAGAGCTGTAGGGCAGTTAAGGAGCGAGCGGTTGGCCAATCTGATAGGATGTTGCTTTGAAGGGGATGAGAGGTTGCTCGTGGCTGAATTTATGCCTAATGAGACTCTCTCCAAGCATCTTTTTCACTGTAAATTTTGCTCTTTTTTCCCCACTTTAGCGGCATTTTGGTCTAGCTTAATCCCTATTTGAGTCATTAGCGAGGTGGTCTGCTGGGTGTGAATTTAATTCTGTAGAACACTTTTTAAAATTTTGTGCTTGAAAAGATAGAAGAAAGGGTAAAAGAAAAGGCTATAGTAATCTAGAAAATTAGACGGGAGAATTAAGTAAGCTAGAACATAGTATTGAGAATGGCCTTAAAGATTGTTCCTTTCTGCCTTGTATAAATGGACTGACAGAAAATAAGACATTCAGACAGTAAGATATAGAACTTAGTTTGGTTGTTTTTCTTGCATTTTGATCAGCAACCTAGAGCATTTAAAAGAGGGGCTTTTTAAATTCAACAAATTCTCCTAACTATTTTAAGTAACTGATAGTCAATGCAAAATGTTAAAATTTGTTAATCTATAACATATACTATGCCTGTAGTGTATATCTTTCCAATTATAATTTTGTATTGGTTGAAACGTTGCAGGGGAGACCCAGCCCATGAAATGGGCAATGAGGCTGAGAGTGGCTCTATATCTAGCCCAAGCTCTTGAATATTGTTGCAGTAAAGGGAGAGCATTATATCATGATCTTAATGCCTACAGGATCTTGTTTGATCAGGTACTTTAGCCTTTAACATTCATTGGGCCTGTCACTTCATTATCAAGCTGGCTTTTTTTTTTACCCGCAAGTCTTAGTTGTGACTTATTCTTTGACAGGATGGTAGCCCTAGGCTCTCCACCTTTGGTCTTATGAAAAACAGCAGAGATGGGAAGAGTTATAGCACCAACTTGGCTTTCACGCCTCCAGAGTACCTGAGGACAGGTAATAATACCTGAACTGCTAATCAAGTGAAAATATGCAGTGTTATAGAAATATCGGTTATACTTGGATCTTTCAATGTAAGAGCTCAAGTATGTGGGATATGTCAATTGGCTTCTTTAAGTATCATTGGGTTCTGATGCATGTTTTATTGGGTATTTAGTTCAACTAATACTGGACATCTTTGTCTGGCAGGAAGAGTGACACAAGAGAGTGTAGTTTATAGCTTTGGCACCCTATTGCTTGATCTTCTCAGTGGCAAACATATCCCACCAAGCCATGTAAGCATTTCTTTTCTTCTACTAAGCTTCATTTGGCTGGGTAGATTGCAGAGAAGTGTTTTATGTTGACACCATTCATGCTTTGCAAGCAGCTGGTAGCTTTTTAAATGTGATGTATTGAACAATTTAAGAGGAAATATTAGCCTGAATGCTTTATTGTTGGGACATTAGTGTTATGCAGATTCCTATTGTCTTGCCATAAGTGAGAACTTCAAGCTAAATGCTTCCTCATTACCTTCTGTCAGGCATTGGATCTTATACGTGGTAAAAACTTTCTGATGCTAATGGACTCATGTTTGGAGGGCCATTTCTCAAATGATGATGGAACTGAGTTAGTTCGGCTTGCTTCACGCTGTTTACAGTATGAACCTCGTGAAAGGCCCAATGCTAAGTCTCTTGTAACTGCCCTTACGCTACTTCAGAAAGAGACAGAGGTTTGCTTACATCCCTCTGTCCCATCCTTTGTTTCCATTCTCTCTAAATTTTATTTAGAAAGGACACAATGACCAATGTTAACCTCATCATGAAGTGAAGTTATATGTCAACCATAGCTGCGAACTCTCTTTGAATTTCTGCGAAGTGTATTAATCATATTGCCATGATACCTATCAAGATCTTTCTTTTAAATGAGATATATTAAACATCAAGTGCTTAGGCTAGTCAAGTTTTCTTAAGGACAGTTTGCTCAGTGCAGCTGAAATACTGAAGTTAGTAGCTTGAATAACTGTGTTATTGTTACTCCATTTACTGGTTTCACTTAACAGGTTCCATCATATGTTCTAATGGGCATTCCACATGGAACTGCATCCTCAAAACAGACATTGTCATTAACACCTCTAGGCGAAGCATGCTCAAGAATGGATCTCACTGCAATACATGAAATATTGGAGAAGGTCGGATACAAGGATGATGAGGGGATTGCCAATGAGGTTAGCAACTTTCTCTAATCCTGTCATTTTATGTTCTTTCAAACCACCCCACAAGTGTAAAAATAAAAAGACCCTCTGGCTATGAGAAGTCAGCTGAGCCTAATAGGTATTTTGTCACATCTGAAGAAAGTTTAGGAAGATCTTCTAGAATGTTCCTAGTTATGAGATCTCATAGAATCCCTCTGGGGTGTCTTCCTCCCAAAGTGAGCTTCTTCATTTTCTTAGTTTTTATCACAGCTGACTTCTTCCTTCAAGCTAGTTGTAGAGCAGAAAACTACTTTATTATGAATTTTTACTTTCATAATATTAATAGATGTTTTCCTGCTCGTCATAGTCCACATATCATTCATTTACTGACTACTCAAAAGCCTCTGTTTTGCAGCTTTCTTTCCAAATGTGGACAGATCAAATACAAGAGACACTGAACTCAAAAAAACGTGGTGATGCTGCTTTCCGTGCCAAAGACTTTGCAACAGCAATTGAGTGTTACACCTATGTGAGTAATTCACTGTAATCTTTTTCATGCAAACACAGAAAGCCTAAATGTTTTGGGTAGCCACAATATGACATATAATGCACATGCTGCACTCAATATTTGACCCCTTCGTGGTTTAATTTGCTGGCTTGTTTGTGTTGTTAGTTCATTGACGGTGGGACCATGGTGTCACCAACCGTGTTTGCGAGACGCTGCTTGTGTTACCTGATGAATGACATGCCACAAGAAGCCCTAGGAGATGCTATGCAAGCCCAAGTAATATCACCTGAGTGGCATACTGCATTTTATCTCCAAGCTGCTGCACTCTTCACCCTTGGGATGGACAATGATGCGCAGGAAACACTCAAAGATGGAACAAACTTGGAAGCCAAAAAACATACAAACTGAAAGTGTACAGGCTTTTTTTTTTTTTTTTTTTCCAACCTTTCACTAAAAATATTTCTTGTATTTACCTGTCCATTTCCCCTTTGGCATTTATGTTTCTGAGCACCACAGGGTTACAACTGTTAACAATTGTATGTGGTTGTATGTGGTGATGTTGGTTTTTATTTATAATCTCAATCTAGACTCCAGGAGCCATATTGATAGAGTGCATTTTTTAGGTTGGAATCGTGAACATCAAAAGCTATCTTTAATTTCATTGATCAAAGCATCAAATAGTCTTTCTTTTATTTCCCATTCTCCATGGTAGTTCATAACACAACATTTCACTTCAAATGACTGCAAATTGCAGAAACTGATAACATAGGACACTTCTGTATCAAAAAGACAAAAGGAAGGCAAAGCCTTCCCAGCAACAGAATCTTTTATTATACTGCATTGAATCAAAACTGTCATAGACCTTCATAAAGTAGCAAAATCAAATGAATACAAACATGCTAGACACAAACAGTAGCTTTGGTGTCCAGCTTTCACAGAAGCAGGCCTGGCCATAACTCAAAAGTTAGGACAGATTTAAGAGAAGATTATCCTGATATTTCACATTGGAGGTTTACCACCGGCACTCAGCATCTGACCGATTATACCATTCACCTAGAAAATAAGACCAGTAGGATAGGATATTAACTCAAGTGAGAACATTTCAAGTAAAAACCAGGAACAGGGGTTGTTTAAAATTGTAATATTGTTTAATCTCATCTATCCTATGATTTTTTAAAACATATAAATCCAGAACTCAAATTCAAGTCTACCTGCCAGTATTTGGAAACACAACGATCAATGCAGCTATTTTCACCCATATTAAGCTCAGATTCCTTGTACCTAAAACAAGAAGATGTTAACATCATAACCACTCCTTAGGAACAAGTATGATGATTTAGAACAGAATTCTCACAATAATATGATTAGATTTCCACTTTAAAAAAAAAAAAAAAAAGACTAGAATTCTATGATTTATTTTTAAAAAGTATCAAGTTTCAAGGGTGCCAAAAGATTCCTCGTTGCTGCAGTCCAAATCTTCCAAGTTGAAATCAATTATACAGATATGAGGAAATTACAATACAGAGGGGCCAGGATGAACAAGAAAGAGAGACAGATGAAGGAGAAACTCATCATACCTCTTGTCAACACATTTGTTGAAACATGTCTGCGCAAGCCTGGACAAAAGAATGACAAAGGCTGAAATCAGTGACAAAAGCATTAAGAATGGAAGCAAGCAAAAGGTGGAAAAAATTCATTACCACTATGCATTAAGAAGTTTTCAGTTTGTAACAAATAGAGATGATGAAGAAAGGTCAAGTAAGCAAGCTAAGGAATACTTAACAGTAAAAATCATCAGTTCTTCACAAACCTACACTTTTACAAGTAGGCAAGTAAAACACTCTTAATTCACTTTTCCTCTCACACTTGTGAAGAAAGAACAAAAGGTGTTATGTAAAGTCCATTCTCAAACAAAAACAAACCTGTTAAACAATTCTACCCTATATTCCATCTCTGTTTCTGCCATTCCAAAGGCCTGCACAATGACCAAATAAAATTAACTTTAAAATCACTTCATATTGGAAAAGGAGATCTCAGAGTGCCATCTTCCAACCAAAATTTACAACCAAAAACAAAAAAAAAAAAATCCAAACTTTCTCTAGTCTATATGCTGATGAATGATCACCTGCAGGCATTATAAATCAATATTCCAACCCGGAAAACAGAATATGGTTTGATGTTGAAACGAAATTTCTAGTTATTTCAACAACAGATTATGCATTCGGGATCAATTCCACAGTGAAAAAAACATTACAAAAGGGTCAAATTGCCCTTAAATCCAAAGAAATACTCAGAGCTAATATTCAACATCAACACAAATTACGACTTAAATCTAGTTTCCTTTTTATAATTTCTAATTCGGAAACTAATAAAAAAAAAACAGAGCCGTACCTGTTCCTTATCTATACCCGCCGGCATATTGTTAGCAGCCATTGAACCCTAAACCAACAAAACCCTAATCAGACTTCGAAATCAAAAAACAGATCTACAAAAGAAAACAGTACCTATTGTAACAAAATGGGTTCGTAAAATCTTACACCAAATTTCTGTATTTTAGAGCTGCCTTTCTTGTAAGGGTTTAAGCCTTGAAGGACTTGCGGACACAAAACACCTTAAAGCTTCTTCCTTTTTATCTGAGGAGAGTAGGGTTTTAGCCTCAGATCGTCGGCTTTACCTTAAATGACCAAAAGGCCAGTCCTTTAAATAAGGTATAAGTTATCTATCAGGGTTTTCCTGGTAATTTCAATTTAATTTTACAAAAGGCCGCTAAGTAGCTCTGGACCCATTCTCTGCTCTGTTCTGTTCCGCCTCGGCTTGGGTCTTCCGCCGGAAATTCTCGAATCTGTTTTCTTAAGTCTTTTCTCTGCCTCTCCGGCTCCGGGGGGTGAGTTTGGCATTCATCTCTTTGTTTCTTTTCTCCTTTTCTTGGATTTATCTTTTCCTATTTTTCTTTGAGTTTTCAAGTATGTATTACAATCTATGAATTTTGAGGTTTGCTGTTTCTTAGTACTTGTAGTTGCAGATACATACAATTTCGATTCATGAAAGCAATCTTATTTATGTTTCTAATGTTGGGTTTTATTGTTCCAAGCAAATCTTTCTAATTTTTTTGTTTTCATATGTGCTTAGTAAGCCAAGATGTTTGAGAATTTTATTTGGTTGCAGGAATAAAATTAGCCATGGAACACGGGACCTTCACTGATCATAGTAGTGCTACTTTTTCTTTGACTGAAGAGGATCATACCTTAGCAAATGCTGTTAGATTCACCTTGAATCAAGAGTTAGTATTGCTCTTTTCCGTTTTCCCTGCTTTTGTTTTTGTTCTACTTTTTGTCTCTGTTCTTCAATCAGTTTGAGAAACATTCTCATTTTGTGTATTTGAGCTGCTTTACTGTTTTATATAGTTATGTGTTCGTTTAAGCTCGTGCCTTTAATCTGCACCAATCTTGCTTCTGCATCTTATGTGCCAAAGTCTAGTTGTTGTACTTTGATTACTTGTAAAATACCTAGTTAAGGAAGTCCGGAGATAAACTGAATTATTTTAGTGCCTATGGACTTGTGCTAGAATCAGAGGAGAAAGTTTGGTACTTTGATTCTATGAAGCAGTAGATTGAAAGCAAAGCCAAGTATTTATGAATGCAATTTCAGATGAAATGATGCTACTATCCTTTTGTGTGATTGACAATATACTGAGAACGTTTATAATCTATTTTTGCAGTCCACGGGTAACATTTTGTGGGTACAGCATTCCTCACCCATCAGATGCTCGAGTTAATATTAGAGTTCAGACAACTGGTAAGCTACTATGTTTTCATTGAACTAAGATCATCAGTGTTGTTGCCATGCATATGTGAAAACATTTCCATTTTTCGGTTCTGTTGATGATTTTTCAATTTCTTGGATGGAATTAAGCAGGTGATCCAGCAAGAGAAGTATTAAAAGATGCTTGTCAAGATCTGATGTTAATGTGCAGGCATGTGAGGAGCACTTTTGACAAGGCTGTTGATGAATTCAGGATCAGCAACCCTGTGAAAGAAATGAACATTGACTCGAAAAAATGAAATTATGGATTCTCATTGTTATACATTTACACATTTAAACTGTCATGTAGCTGATAATGTACTGATTTCAATTCAATCTTACTTTCATTATGTTCTTATTGAATCTTTGTTTATTTAGTGGTAGGCTGGTAGCATTGCCTGCTACTAGTTCCAAAAAATTGTCATGTTGTTTCTCACTGTTATAAGGACCTTGCAGTCACAGGCCAGGATAAAATTTTTTTTTTTTTTTGGGTAAAAAGTGAATCTTATTACTTATAATACCAAAATCCATGTACAAAGCAGCACTGGCTGTCCAGGCTGCTACTAGAATCCAATTACAAAAAAATCAGCAAGTCTAACTACAAGAATCAGGATAAAATTATTGCAACAAACAATTAGAAAAAGGAGTCCAATGTGATAAGAGAAGGAAATAAACCTGAGCTCAATATTGTAGCATTTACTCAAAATCTCAATATAACAAGGCACATGGAGCGGCACATCATAATTGCAAAGAAATGGTGAGCTATATGATAGAGAACTTGGAAGGAGCTTGATAAGTGCTGTTAATGCTTTGGAATGTGTGTATGACAATTGGACTTCTGACCTTATGGTTACCATCTGACCATACCAAGTCTGTAGACACAAATGAAGCTGGTGTCAGAGCGTTTCCAGTAACAGTGACGTTGAAAGACTTATTTTCGTTCAAAGATTTGAAGGATAAAACTGCAGGAACCACTGTGACTGTGAGATTGGAGTTTGGAGACACTTCTGCCTTGTAAATTGAAGTTGCAGTGCCAACATTGGTTACTGTTCTGTGAAACTGAACTGTGAAAGGTTTTTTTGGCCGGAACCTGAGCTGCTAGTGAAGGATAATTCAGATCCCTAGCTGGGACATTGTGGGAGGCTTCTGGACAAGAGCTGTTATCTCCAGATACTCTCCTTACTAAATCTGATTTATATCCCATACTGCAAAGCAACTTTATGTAGTCTTCTTTCAAGGCTTCATAAACAAGTCCTGGATCAACAGCATTTACTGGATTAATATGTCCAGATCCATAAGCAATTTCAGAATATGGATTGATTTTTCGATTCATGGGGGAAGCTGCATTCACAGGGAACTCAGTGAGGAAGAATATAAACTTATCATGAAGAAAATTAGTCAAAATTTATACAAGGCAATCACCAGTGGTCATGAGAGCAGATTTGATGGCCGAAGGAGACCAATCAGAGTGAAACGTTTTAACATATGCAGCAATAGCCGCAGCATGAGGGCAAGACATGGAAGTTCCCGATAATATATTATATCTAACCCGCCTTTGGTCTGAAGGGTCATCTGAAGGAGAAGCAATGGGTGAATATGCAGCCAAGATATCCACACCTGGAGCACTTAAATCCGGCTGTAGAAAATTTGAGTAACATATCAGCAAAACAGGAAACAAGAAAGTAAGAATTCATGAAACAAGAGAAGCAGAAGAGAGAACCCCAGGTTATGGAAAATTCCTACCTTCAGAACATCTGGCACAATATAGTTTGGCCCCAGCGAAGAGAAGGGAGCAACTAGAGGAGCAGCATACTCGTTAATGGCTTCAGTTCTTAATATTTCTGCCACAGAATTTCTACTAACAAGATAACACAAATCCAGTAATTGAAATATGCAGATATATATTATACATATATAAGGGTAGCTCCAGATGTATACATACTTGGTGGAATTCAAGTAGGACATCACAAGACTATAGTTGCGCTTGCTTAAGGCTGAGGCAGGTAATGAGACAATATCTGCAACAAAATTATGTGCATCATTTAGGAGAACTGATCCAACTGCACCAGCTTTCTTAGCTTCAACAATTCCATCAAACTCGTCACATAGGACAATCTTTCCCTTCACTGCATTACTATCCAGACACCCCCTGCACAACCTGATGCAGAACACAACAAATCAGACTCTTTCTTATGCCAAGAGTTTTCAAAAACCAGAATGAAATCCGAATGATTTTTCAATGGAACCAACCTAGCTCTTGATTTAGAGCAATTACGAAATGAAGCATCTTTTCCATGAATTAGTGGAAACTTTGTTCCATTTAGTGAGAAAGAATTGATTGCAAAACCCTGTGCAGAGACAGAAGTAATAGTCAAAATAGAATTTTTTTTTCCTGAAAGAAGAGAAATAAAGTGTAGCATCAATCTTGATCACTAGAACACGTGCATTATACACACCCTTAGTGTGTTTCCATTTCCGAGTGCAACATTGGAAATGAACAGGCGATCTGTGCTGCTTGCTGCAACAGAAAGCATCCATGGTGATATACTTGTCGTAAATAGTGGTCCAAATATCCCACTGTTGCCTGCAGAATTAATGGTAAGAATTCCATTTTGCATCGCATGGAAAGCTCCAATTGCCATGGTGTCTTGAAAGAAGTCAACCGTATCTGCAGGTCCTAGTGAAATTGTTATCAAGTCGACTCCATCAGCAATTCCATCATCAAAAGCTGCCAACAAATCTTCTGAATTACACACTTCATCACAAACTTTGTATGCAGCAATCCTTGCAGAGGGAACCCCTCCTCTTGCAGTTCCTTGTGCCAGTCCAAAGAAACTAGCACCTGTTACAGGGTTTCCAGCAGCTATAGATGCAGTATGGGTGCCATGACCAACGTAGTCTCTTGTAGAGTTAGCTGGAGTGTAATATCGAGCTCCAATGATCTTGCTGTAATCAATGAAATCACGGAATTATAAAGTGATACAAAAATACATTTACTTGTTGATAAAGTGAGAGAAATTGTGTTTACTTGTTGCAAGTGAAATTTTTGCCACCATGACAGACACCCTTCCACTTTTTGGGAGGTGGACCAAAACCTTTGTCATTGAAGCTTTCTGATTCAGGCCAGATTCCAGAGTCAATAACACCAATGATGATATCACTCTCAATTGTTGTATTGCGCTTAATGGTCTCAGTTAATCCTAAAAAATCCCAAGATCTTGTTGTGTGAAGCTGGAGTGGGATGCTGGGAAAAACGGAGACTACTTCTTTCATACCTGCACATGATTGCAGTTTCAGAACAAGTGTTGAAAGTGACCTGCTTTTCACTATATGACCTCTAAAAACTCGAAAGGAAAAGATCTATGTGCATTGCAGCACTTACTTGTCAACTCTTTCACCTCCTGTTCTGTGAGATTGGCAGCAAATCCATTGAAGCTCCTCCCATAGCTTCTGATCAGGAAATTTGCTGCAGAGCTGGAATGAGCAAACCAGAGAGCATTAAAACATGTCAATAGAGAAACAGGCATTGAGAGAACCCTTATGGGATCCAACATGTCTCGATTTCCAGATCAGTGGAAGGTTAGTACCAAGAAAAAAAGAAAAAACAAAAACATGTCAATGAAGATTAATCTCAAAAAAGCGAGATATATTACTCATTCCCCGTAATTCCTTTAAGCAGACTGAGATGTTGAGACATTGGGGAGTATTTTCCACCAAGAAGTGATCCCATGTATACAATGTGGACCTACGTGGTTGACAATCACAATCATTATCATCCCAATCATTGACAGTAAAGTAAAAAGTTTATATGCATATTCTCATTCTTAAGATGCAAATACAATACTTGCCTTTCTACCTTCATCAGTAGCCCTGCATAACAAGCATACGTTAAGCATGCAAATGAAAGATATGTAAAACTGAAGGTGGAAAACAAAGTTCGCCATTTTTCGAAGCACAGTATTGAGGACTGCTTCCCAGATTCTATTGCAGTTTGGGATTTCTGAACCTCTTATGTTATGATTTGACCATTTTTCCTTGCCTTAACTGGCTAATGCTCTAATTGGAAACCACACCCAAGTTTTACTGTATTCCTTAATTGAATAGTTCATGATGATGTGCCCCTTCCACATATAAATTGTTGTTAATGCCATAGAAATGATATTTTCTGGAATTAGGCTGCACCCACCTGAGAATCTAAACACAACACAAATATCAGAGATTACTTACCTATCTTGCCACATTGCCAATTCAGTTTCCCACGCCCTGCGAGTGCTTCGTTAATTATTTCCTCTTCTACCGTGTTATTATTCTCTCTAAAAGACATGCTTGATAATCTAATCTCGAATGACTAGGTATTTTTGCAATGAAAATTGAACTTCAAACTCCATTGAGTCTGCTCAAGTAACCTGGCTTTAGCAAGTGAAACCATAATGTCTCTCTTACAAAAGTTCCTACTTATATTCCAATTGCATCACAAAGATGTGTCTATATCTTTGGAGGAAACAAAGATGAGAAAATGTTACAAAGAATGACATCAAGGGAACAAAATTTGAAACAGATTCTTAAGAGCCGTGTCTAACAAGTGCAATGGCAACTCAGCTACTTGAACCCGTGTCCTGCAGGATTTAAGACAACTCATCAAGCTACCTCAGCTTCAGTTTTTGTGGCATTTTCTGTCAGTTTTGTCAAGTTTGGAGTGGTTTCTGTTGGTTTAGACAAGTGTGGAATGTATCTCCAGCAGCGTTTGTGTACTCCACTAATCTTCTTGGGAGCATCTGCAGCTAGCACGCCTGCATTAAGCACACACTATTAATAAGTTATCATCAAATAGCACGTGTCCATGTATGTATGTAAATCCCCATCCAAACTCAGACTTCCACATTTTGGTTTTGAATTGGACATTTCATACAATAAGTCTATAATCAAGACACAAGCTGCAAAAGCATTTCTCCTAACTCTATCACATTTTGACTTTTGCTCCGTGGCATTAATAAAGAGACTTAAGAAAACTTTTAAATAAGGCCACATAATTTGTGAAAATTTGGGTCATTACTGCCATCAAAATGTAAGAAATTCGGGAAAATAAGAGTTATCTATTGTTTCAAACCTGATAACAAAGAAGAGATCATCCAGAAGCAACTTCGAGATGAATGATGATTTATTTTGAGAACTGTTAATATTCTCTGTCATCTAGAACAAAATTTCAAGGTCAATGTAGTAGAAAGGAGATATTTATCACTCTATGTCCTAACAATGTTGAAAACAACAGCCAACAGGGGCGGGAAAAAGGAGAAACAAGCATGCAATTGAAACCGAAAATTTACCACATGTTTAAGAATGGCATTCTAAGAAAGATGACGCTTTATGTACTAAAAAAAAAAGATGATGCTTTATCTCAAGTATATGCGAAGGATAAATTTGTACTAACTTAAATGCCATCCTTCTAAAGTAGTATTTTAACAGTGCATTAGTTCAGCAAAAATAATGCAGTAGATCAGCTTTAATAATGACATTTTGATAAATCAAGAATTAAGTAATACAAAATGAAATAAAACACCAACCTAACCTCCTATTTCTTGGTAGAAAAACTACTGAATGTTGATTCACAGCAAACAAATAAATGTTAAATAACCTTGAAATGGCAACCAAACCAATGAAAAAATTAATTATAACATAGTAATTGCCAGGTCTTAAGCTCATGAGAGAATAGAACTTTATCAACCCACCAAACCAACCGAGAGTTTGTTGCAAAGAGAGCCCCAACATTATCAACCAATCATGCAATCACCAAACTTGCAGTATAAAGTGGTCAGGAATGCATCAATTATTTTCTTTCATAACAAAATTTTACCACTTGATTGAAAGACTCCAACAGATAATACTTAACGAAGTGATATCAAAGATATTAGCTTTCTTCTGAACTATACACCAAAAATAGACAGGTCCTAATCAAAATCAAGACTTTTACCTACATGTAGTGAAAATAATTAATACTGACATGATCATAGAAAAAAAAAATTATTGTGGTGATAGAAAAAATGAAAACCAGAAATCCCAAGGAAAATCAAATAGCAAAGAAAGGTGAAATTAATAATAGAAATTTGAATTACTAACCGTCCTTATGAGCAATTCCCCATGCCTTGCCATGCCTTCCATCCTGCAACAACCAGGACCTCATAAACCCTTAATCCCCAACTCTATAAAACAAAATATCAAAGAGATAAACCCCGTCCCTCTCCCAGCTTCTCATTTGATCCCAACAAATTGTATCAGAAAAGAACCAATAGCACTGAACTCTAAACCCCTAAATTGAAGTAAAAGAAGAGGACTTTGAGAGAGAGACCTTGTAGAGATTGATCTTGGTGATCTGATACGAGACATTTGTCCAGTGAGTTTTCGCCATGTGGTAGCCAATACCCCAGCTGGGCAAGAACTGGGCTACCTCAAACAGATTCTTTTTTCTTCGTTTACGTTTCTTCGTCGCCGAGGAGGCACAAGGGTTTTGAGTAGAGGGCGCAGCAGTGCTCAAGTTCCGTAGGAAGTTGAATGAGAGCCTAAGAAGTCCAAAGGATTGATTTTGCAGCGCTCTATGTGCGACAATAGTCGCCATTTTTGTTCAGTTTTTTCTTCTATTCCTTTCCTCTTGTCCTTTGCAAATTCTGCAGAGGGAGAAGTGATGGAAATGATGAGAAGCTAGAAACCAAGGACTCCGGAGTTGCAGTTTTGGTTAGAGATGGTCTCCTTAGTTTCATGTATTAGCATATTTACCCCTTAC